ACTATTTATACCAATGACTGGAAAATTGCTTCCCACAAATTATGTACTAAAACTGCTATCCATTCCATCACTTCTATTCCAGAATATCTTACCATTGATAAAGACGCAAGTTTGACTCCAGTAAAATGGAAACTTCAATGCCATCATTAATTATGAAACTACCAGCTGAAAAAGAAACATACTTTTCAAGGAAATTTGAGGGGGATTCAAAAAATTCATGGAAAAATTCCATTATCTTTCTATTCCATGTTCCACAATCTTTTTGAAGCCCCTTTCTTATTTCCACCTTTTCTAACATACAATCATACAAAGACACAACCTTTTAGGGTGAAGATTTTATGTTTGTGAATTTATATAATTAGAAGTGTAATACTGTATATGGAAGCTATGCATAAAACACATTTAAACTTCCAAATGACTTTATAGACCTAAAATATCTATTTGTAGATATGGATAACATATACAAAAGCGATGGCTTTTATAAAAATCCAACCAGAGAACCAAAATCTACATTTTGTGAATCAATGTGTACACTGTTTTTGTTGTTGGTAGGTGCCATCGAGTTGACTCTGGACTCATAGTGGCCCTATCAATAACAGAATCAAACACTGCCCAGACCTGCACAATCTACACATTTGTTACATTTGAGTTCATTGCTGTTGTCTCTGTGTTGGTACTATCTTGGATGTCTTGCTCTTTCTCACTGACCATCCATTTTACCATGCGTGGTGTAATTCTCCTGATGACATGTCCGAAGTGTGAGTCAAAAGTCTCACCATCCTGGCTTCTAAAGAATATTCTGGCTGTCTTTCTTCCATCAGAGATTTGGTTTTGTTTTTGCAGTCCCTGGTACTTTTACTTTTCTTCTCCAACACCATAATTCAAGTGAATCGATTCATCTATGGTCTTCCCTATTCATTGTCCAACTTTGATATGCAACATTGTTGTTGTTATTAAGTGTGGTTGAGTCAATTCCAACCCATAGCAACCCTATACAGGGTTTTCGAGGAGCAGCTGGTGAGCTTGAACCGCCAACCTTGCAGTTGAAACGGCTTTGCAGTGTGGTACATTAACTCACAGTGCCAAACCAGGACTCCATGCACATAAGGCAATTTAAAATACCACTGCTTTGGTTAGGTTGTTCTGGTGCGGCGTTGTGGGTTAATGCACTAGACTGCCAAGTTGGTTTGAACCACAAGGTTGGTGGTTCAAGCTCACCAGCTACTTCTTGGAAATTCTATACAGGGTCACTATGAGTCGGCATTTAACAACAACAAATTCTCAAACTATTATCTTTGTTCTTTAATGCTTAATAAGGTCTTCTGAAGCAGATCTAATACAATGTTAATTTGATTCTTGACTGCGGTTTCTTTGAGTATTGATTGTGGATCCAAGCAAAATCTATTCTCCATTTATCATGAGGTTATTCAGTGGTACAGTTCTGAGGATTCTGTTTTCTTTACATTGAGGTGCAATCCATACTACAGGCTGTCGTCTTTGATCTTCATCAGTAGGTAGTTTAAGTTCTGTAACTTTCAGCAAGCAAGGTTGTATCATTTGCATATCACAGGTTCAGAGTGAGTCTTGATGTTACATTCTTCTTCATGTAATCTAGCTTCTTGGATTATATGCTCTACATACAATCTGAATAAGTATGGTGAAAGATACAATCCTGACACACACCTTTCCAGATTTTAAGCCTTATTCTCTTGTTATGTTTGAACGACTGCCCCTTGGTCCTCATGTTCCTCATGAGCACAATTAAGTGTTCTAGAATACGCAATTCATCACAATGTTATCCATAGCTTGTCATGATCCACACGGTCTAAAGTCTTTGCACAGTTAATAAAACACAAGTAAACATCTTTCTGGTATTCTCTGCTTTTAGCCAAGATCCATCTGATGTCAGCCATGATATCTGTAATTCCATATTTTCTTCTTAAATCTGGCTTGAATTTCTGGCATTTCTCTGTCAATGTACTGTTGCAGCAGTTTTTAAATTATCTTCAGCAAAGTTTTACTTGCATGTGACAATAATGATATTGTTTGATGACTTCCACATTCTGTTGATCACCTCTCTTTGGAATGGGTATAAATATGACTTTCTTCCAATTGGTTGGCTAGGTAGCTGTCTACTAAATTTCTTGGCAGATAAGTGAACACCTTCAGCACTGCATCAGTTTGTTGAAACATTTCAATTTGTATTCTACCAATTCCTTGAGCTTTGTATTTCACTAATGCCTTCAGTGCAGCTTGGACTTCTTCCTTCACTGCTAACTCTTGAAGTGGCTGAACACCAACCATTTCTTTTTGGTTTATCAATCAATCTTTTGCTCAAAAAATCTTTCAAAATTCCAAATCAAGGCTTGAATGTTTTCTTCAGTCCTTATACCGTGAGAAATTCTGTTGTTGTTAAATGCTGTTAAGTCAGTTCTAACTCACAGCAACCCTTTAGGGTTTCTGAGGAGCAGCTTGTGGGTTTGAACCATGAACCTTGTAGTTAGCAGTCCAGTATTTAACCTACAATGCCACACCAGGACTCCAAGTATACATTGTTGTTGTTGTGAAGTGCCGTCGAGTCGGTTCCAACTCATAGCAACCCTGTATAGGGTTTTCGAGGAGCAGCTAGTGAGCTTGAACAGCCAACCTTGCAGTTCAAAAAGCTTTGCAGTCTAACGCATTAACGCACAGCTCCACACCAGGATTCCAGAGGAATATTATTTATCGCATTCACTATTAGGAGAAAAGAAGAATCATTGCATAGATGACAATAACACACAATTCTTAGCAAAATGAGAAAGAAAACCCTTTAAAACTTGAAATGTCTTGGGATACTGCTCTCCACGTGGATTTTAGTACAAATAACATGGCAGATGCCACTACAAATAGCTCTGAGAATGCAAACTGTGACCCTGCCTAAATGACAGCTCTGGTCTTGTAATAAATTCTTCCTAAGGAGCTCTGGTTAGTGTAGTGGTTACGAATTGGGCTGCGAACCACAAGGTCAGCACTTCAAAACTATCTGCTGTTCTGAAGGAAAAAGATGAGGCTTTCTGCTCCCATAAGATTTACAGCCTCGGAAACCACATGGTCACTATAAGTCAGAATCGACTCCATGGTACTTAACAACAATAGCAGTGAACTGGTGGTGAGAGGAGGTTAAGAGCTGCTCTTGTCTAGTAACTGAGGCAAGCAGACCGCTTAACCTAACTGAACACTGATGACTCCTGTAAGTGCTGTATCACATGTGCGGCCTAGAAGTTAACATGTGTGAGGATGTATTAATTATTCCTTTTATTTGCCTGAAAGTTTAAGGTGTTCATGAGCTAGGGGAACAGAAAAAAGTTTTCTCAAAACTTACTCTTTGGAAGAGAAGTGAAGAAAAATGAAGAGGAACATCAGAATAGTAAATGAAGGACAGCCCTTTAGGACTTTTAAATTTCTTTGAAAAGGATATAATAAGCATTTGAATAGGCAGGAAATTAATAACCCTTAGTAAAGCAACGACCATGGACCATGACCATGAATAGTTCAAAACATTATGGAGAAAAAGGAAACACATGTTACCAATGAATAATGGTCAGCATTTAAATGGATCCCTATATGGTATTACTTTCTCTGGTTTGCTATTAAATTGACTATTATAAAGAATGGTTAAGCCATTTCTATAATTACCTCAGCTTCACAGATTATTTAAATCTATTTGTACAGGCCCTGTGAAAAGGTCAGTGTTCGGGCTGAAGCTCACAGACTCAAAAATCCAAAAGTTCTGATTTAAACAGGAAGAGATGGCTGCAGGAGAGTTCACCTAAATAATAAACAGCTAAGCAGATGTGCACTTTGTGTCAGTAGAAAACAACACTGTGCTTTTATATATATTGCTTTGAACTTAATTTGAAAGCATGATGACTCTAACATAACACATAATGTAACCTAAACACACCCCAATTTTCCTACCTTTCTTACTGATAAAATTGTGGTACAGGGATTGTACATGGTTTGACCAAAGCAAAACAATTCATCAAAAGCCGAAGCAAGATAAGAACTCAAGACTTCCGATAATTAGGACATGCTCTTCTTACTACGCCTCTCTGCCTCCAGCCCATCACAAGGAATGTATGGTAAGAGTTAACCTTCTAAAAGTCTAACAAAGGGCATGTACTTGGTGTACACATATATCAAACAAAAACGGAGAAAGAATCTGTTATTGTGTAAGATAAAATTACATTTTCTGGTAAACATATAAACAGTAAGTACAACAAAAGTTACAGTAACAAAATAATGTTTTGGACCACATCCAGAAACCAGTCAATTTGCAAATGGATGGACACATCAGTAGGGTTCTGTGAAAGTTTAGATTACAGTTCTCTCCTCACAGATCTGTAGATGGTTGGATTTCTTCCTAAAATAAATTAGTTCTGCCTTCCAGAGTAATCTCAGTAAAGATTCCAGATTATGTATCATACCACATGGGTTCACAGCTTTGCTAAATTAGGTTAGATTTGTGTCAGTCACAAATTTACTATTGCCTTATTCTGAAACCTATTGATTTTTTAAAGGTACAGATGTGTTCTTGCAATACAAGAAGGGTTTACTTAGTCATTTGGACTGACCACTTTATACTTATGGTCTGTAAGACAAAACTGAGAAAGATACAAAAAGAAAATGTTACATATTGAACCATATAATGAAACATATTACATATATATGTGTGTGTGTGTATTCCAACAGATTTCAGAGGACCATATAAAATAAAAATTATTTCAGAAACTTAAAAAAAAAAAATTATTTCCAGTGCATCAACTACTCTTTTATTATCAGGAATTTGTCTATGCACTCCCAGTCACCATATGTAGAGCACAGAACACCAACCAGTGGCTGATGAACTAGACTTTCAGCTAGACAAGTGCCATTAATCAAAACCTTACAGCAATGTACACAGAATTCACTTTAGTGTCTGGATCCTCTAACACAGTTCAGTTCTTCTATCCTGGACTTACCTCACATGATAATCAGTTGCTGGTCTAAGATCTTTCAGGTTACATTCTAATTCTTCTCCACTGCAAAAAGAAGTCAATCATTAAGTTCACGATATTTCAAAAGTAATGTAAGTTTGGATTTGGTTCTCATAGCCATGCTCCAATAACGATCCAAAAAAGCCTATTTATATCTTGATTCTACCATCAGCCAGAAGGAAAAAAACATAACTTTCTTATTTGGTTTGACTGTATTTTTGGACTAGAAAATCAGACTCATTTACGAGTCGGGCTGCCAACCTCAAGGTCAGCAGTTCGAAATACCGGCCGTAGCACGGGAGAAAGATGAGGCTTTCTACTCCCGTAAAGATTTACAGCCTCAGAAACCCTGTACAGGGTCATTATGAGTTGGAACTGACTCCACGGTACTTAACCAACAACATCCTAGATTTAGAAAATGGCAAGGTTGGCTTACTAATACAATTTCCAAATGTAAGCACTTTAATGTGGTCTCCCTACTGAGAAGCAGCCTTATCACTTTTTGAAACTGCAAATAACAGTAAATAACTGCACCAGTTGTCGACCAAGGGGGGCTCTACACTTACCTCAGCAGGAACCTCAACTACCTCCAATTTCAGTCTCTTTTTGACAAAATTTCAACCTGTCTCCTCACATAAAGCACACAACGGAGACCTTTGCTATATAAAAATTTTAAAAAATTTAGCTGACCCTACGTTGAGACCAAACCTCTACTCAATCATGAGAAAGTAACAAATGTAAAATAAGGAATAGTCCATTAAAATATTCTAAAAGATGGCATGGGGGAGGAAGTATTATGCAGAAAGGTCAGTGTTATCAAAGCTAATGGAAGACTTTAGAAATGCTTTAAAGGCTAAAGAGATAAGACATCTAAATATACTATCCTGTTCTGGAGGGGGAAAAAAACAGACATTGTTAGATTAAAATTGACAAAAATGGAGTATGGATAGTGGATTACACAAAAATCCCTAATGTAAATTTAGGGAGCTCATAACTGCACTGTGTTTTCCTCAGGTGACTATCCTTATTTTGAAGAACTGTCCACGGAAGGACTTAGTGCGAGAGGGCCAGGAAATAAGCAACTTACATGAAAACGCTATAGAGGAGAAAAGCAATTAAAAAAAAGAGAAGATCAAATGGTTGGTAAAGGAAACTGGGCAAAATGGTATTAATAGGTGAATGTGGATAAAGAGACAGAGGTATTGTTTGATCTCTCTCTCTCTTTTTTTTTAAACTTTTTATAAGTTTAAAATTATTTCTAAGTAAAAAGTTCCATTAAATAAGTTACAAACTGACAGTCTGTGCCATACTTTGCCTGCATCGCTGTTGTTTGACTTGCACTGTATTGTTAAACATTTTTTGTTTGTTTGTTTTAGATCTCCAGAGAGAGTTTAATATCAGAAAACCTTACCTAATAATTTAGATTTTCAGCATCTCTTGATAAATGTATATAAGGGAATTCTGGGCTACATGCTGTCATGGCAAGAACCAATTGCAGTGAAGTGGAGGCAAGAGATCTCCTGCTCAGCATTTTCCCAACCAACCCTTCCCTGGTTCCCACTGATGTCAGTTGCTGGCACCTCCGTTCATATGCACCTGTAGTTCCTGCCACCAATATCAACACTGCAATGATAGAATCTACCTATTTTTTTTCTTGTTAAGAGTGGAAGAAGCAGCTCTCTGTATATCTTTACAGTTTCTACCAATTCTAATTTCTGAAAAGGATTTATTCTAAGTACAGTGGGGACTCACTGGCATGCTCTGCAGGGAAACAATATGGCCTGACCTAGGTTTCTGTTGTGTACTGGAGACCTGGAGCTAGGTGTTGGGAGACTCTGAGGAGCTTCCTGCAGGAAGTCCAGGGAAGAGATAATGCAGTACAAACATCTAGAAGAGGGAGCAGCTAATGGACTTCTTTCCTCATCTCTCTTCCCTTTTCTTTGCCAGTAAGAAGACACAACCCTAGAGCAACATAAGATACCAAAACAAGGATAGAGGCACAAGGTCTGTCTGCTCCTGTAGCTAGAACCAGAGAAAATGAAAGTGGGAGGGAAGGAAGTGAGGTTTATGTGATCATGTTACCCTGGGCTGGAGCTGTCCTCCCAGAGGCGCCTCACACATGGAGGTCAAACAAGGAGTTAAAACAAAACTACCTTTGTGATATTGTCTTCTGCAACTCTGAGCAGTGTTGACACAGAAGAAAAGATGGATTCTGAAAATTTCTGTCACATTTAGAATAGGATAGTAAATCATTTAAATAGTTAATAGCTGGGAATCCTTAAAACAGAAGGGATGTCTGGAGGTGAACTCCATATTCTGTGTACTCAACTTTTGATCATCTAAGAAAATCTTGGTAAGAAATGCTTTGAAGTAGTAACCTTTATGATATGCTGGAAAACTACTGAGAGGGTAAGAAGTTGGACAAACTGAAAAGACATTCACCATGTTATATAAAATTATTTAAAATAACCCAAACTCACAGTTGCATTTTACCCTGATAGACACTACTGGGATTAAAAAAAAAAAAAAATTAAACTATACGACAAGTTAACAAAAGGAAGTGATATATTTTACCAAAATCAAACAGCTTTACAATGTCATGGTTGCTGTTGTAGTTAAGTGTTGTCGAGTCAGTTCCAAATCATAGTGATCCTGTGTAGGGTTTTTGAGGAGCATCTGGTGGGTTTGAACTTCTGACCTTGCCGTTCTTAATTCTGCCTCACGGCAACCCTAAGTACTTACTTCTAAGAATAACTTTGTAGAAATTAACCTCTGACATTATAATTAGTATTACTACTAATTCTCAAAATGAACTGTCTAAAGGAAAATTTGCAAACCCATAAAGATTTTCCTGTGCTTTCTATTTTTACTAATAATCCCAATTTCACAGTTTAGCAGCAAGGAAGAATACATGGAAACATGGGTTACCTGTAAATTATCTTGTATTTTCCATCTCGCCCTTTGTCTGATAAGGCCACCTCATAACTGTAGGAAAGACCACTGTGGGATCCACATGAAAGTCCAACTGGGGGAGCCCAAGATAGCACAACTGCTCTTGCCTGAATATTAGAAACCTGAGGAAGAAAAAGATGGTGTAAGAATGTTCAAATCCATTTCACCTGGTCCAGATACTGCTTCCTCCAATAACATTTGTGTAATTATTATTACATGGTATAAAGCTAGAGTTAATCCAAGGCAAACAATTATAAGGATGACAAACAGCATTCTATATGGTGCCTCTCTTGTTAAAGTCCTGATATACAAAACACAGCTACTGCAATGTCTGTCCTTATTTTGCAAAGTTTCAGCCAAGTCCAGTGCAATACATACTCAGTCTTCTAGAAAGTGAAAGAGTCAGTCATGTTTGGGGAAATTTCTTAAGGTAAAAAGTTTAATGAAAGGGTCAATGGTCTACAAAGCAGCCATCACATTAAGAAGTAGGAGTCACATCCACAGAAGTTTGGGTAGTCTTCAAAACTGCTTAACTTTGATCAGTTTTCAAACTGTGCTCCTCAAAGTCTTGCAGGTCCTCAGCAGAGCCCAATGGGTGGGGAATTGGAACAAATGAGCAGGCTGGTACAAATGTGCATAGGATGTGGAAATGATCCATTTCCCCAACCTCTGCTTTTATCGTTTGGCTTAGTTTCTGCTTAGGACTTAATTTGAACAAAAGACTTTGGGTCTTTAAAAACTCTGAAAACCACAGTTTTAAGCCATGGATTACCTTTACCATAATATAGGGTATCTCCACCCACCCACCTCCCCACGCCCGCTATCTGAAAGTAAAATGTTCCCATAACACTTTAAGCTGAAATGACATAGAGAAACAATTATCATTAATTTGCACGGGAAAATTTTTTGAGCATTCACAGAATTCCAAACTAACATATCAAATCATAAGAAATAACACACAAAAAACTAAAATAACATTGGCCTATGCACAGTGTTCATAGATACAGTTTGTAGCTATGGCAGCTTGGTACTGAGAGCGTGCAGTCCTGGAGAAGGAGCTTGGCGACATCATTCTCACTGCTCAGGCATGTGTTGCCTCTTTAAGGGCTTCCTGATAAACAAATGCTGAACTCTAGTTATGCTTTTGTCTTTTTCATAAACGTGAAATCCTCTAATGATTTCTTTCCATTAGCATAAATAGACACTAATGTAGGTATTTCATAAAAGCGAAATGCAAAAAGCAGGGAAATGGGCGATACCTGTATTACCTTTAAGAAATTAGATGCAGTCACTAGTTAATAACAGAGGAAGAAAGAGAGATCCCTTGAACTGTGAATATGGTAGCTAGGCATACTGCCCTTAACCAATGATGAATAGGAGTTGATAGTACCCTATTGTCCTACTCTGAGGCATGTTCCAAAATACCTATCACTGTCTCTCAGAGTCTTCAGCAGGATGACACTCGATTTGGCCAAAGCAATATCTTGCTCCTGAACAGACCCGAAATGGCTTCCTTCCCACTTGTCTCACTTCCTAAACTCCTACTGTGTCATCTCCGATCTGAAATTAACTATTTGTACTCAAATCTTCATCTCTGAGTCTGTGTCTGTAGACATCCATTTAAAACAGGGTCTAATTCTTTAAAATAAATCAAAACAATAGAACTCTAAAATCTAATTTTCTGAAGGTTGTTTTATTGATCCCTGCATATATGTAACAGTAAAACCCAGATTCTATAAAGACTATAGCCGTGGATTAGGCAGTAGATTGAGACTGAAAACTCTTCAGTCCTCCCTTTCCCACCTTTCTTCTATTTTGTTCCTAATCTGATTATATAAAAATTGTTAACATGTAATGTATTGGAGTCCTTGTGTGGTGCTGTGGGTTAATGCACTGAACTGCAACGTAGTTTTGAACCACAAGGTCGGTGGTTCAAGCTCACCAGTCACTCCTCGGAAACCCTATACAGCTATGGGTCAGAACTGACTCGATGGCACTTAATAACTTAACAACAACAACAATATTGTATAATACAAAGAAAAGCAAGAATAGTAAATATGAAAAGTCAATGTCGAGTCTGCCTTTTCTACATTTTTATCCCATTTTTTTAGCAGTGATCTCTCTATATATTTCTGTTCCTTATAATATAGCATCATATCTTTAGCCAATTACTTAGTTTGATTCCTACTCATCCTTCAAGTCCCCAGCCAGGCCTCACGACCTCGCAACCTCCAATCAACCTTCCCTGTACTATAATCACCCATCACCCTCTCTGTTATACAGATCTTATTGTTATTTCTTCCATTACTGATCATATTACAGCATTTGTCTCACTCTCTCGCCAACAGGCTGTGACACTTACTAAGGACAGGGCTCCAAAGTGAGGAGCTTATCAAATGCTTATTGATTGAGAAATCAAAATCAAAGAGAATAGGATAGTCTGAGTTTCTGAGCCAGGCTATATATAGTAGCTGCAGAATAGCATTACACATTGTTTCAAAAGTCTGAGGAAATACTGTTTCAGATGCAAAGCCCACCCCTCTGGATATGGCCCCAGACTAGCAGCTCCTGTTCACCCTCCCCAGTGGGATGCTGCATTAAAAACCTCTTTCTGAGTGCTACACCCCCTCATAGGCCTGTGGCTTCAATGATGTTTCTTATTTTTAGACCCTGTTCAAATTTACCTTTCTTCATTCATCTGACCATCACACCTCATCCTGTAAGGGGCTGTGGACACGTAATGATTAAAAAATGGTTTCTGCCTTCAAGGAGTGCCAACCTGGTGAGGAGAGACATCCGAGAGACCCTAAGATGGACAACTGAGCACAAAGAACAATGCAGGAAAGGATTCTATGATGTTCCTTCTGGCATTTCTGGCTCAGAATCAATCTGTTTTCTTGTGCTCAGGTCACATTTTGCTGTTACAGCAATGGGTAACAATTGGCACTTATTTTATTATTACCACTATGCATTACTCAGTTATTTATGTGTTGCTTCACTGACTAGATTAAAAATAGCATTTCTACTATGCACAACACTGTACTTCTGAATTCCTTCACTCAGATTCCTAAGGTACTGGGAATTTGATTTTTAACACAATAGGAGATATTTTGCTATGAAAAAATGTGCTTATAATTATAAACAGGCTAACTGGATACTGGAGACATGTAACTGAGGTGGTAAGTGGCTGTTTTGCACAATTCCAACAATACAGTATGTAGTAACACTGATTTTAATGAATGATAGTGTGGTACTGTGGGTTAATGTGCTGGACTGCAGTCAGTTAGAACTGCAAGTTCAGCAGTTCAAGCTTACCAGCTGCTCCTCAGAAATCCAATACAGGGTCGCTATGTATTGGAACTGACTTGACAGTACTCAACAACAGTGTGAAATAACATCACGTCTTAAAATAGTTCACATTCTAGCACTTTAAATATTAAACAAACACCTGGAAATTTACATCATGTTTAAGATCTTTCTCATTGGGTATTAGGAATTTTTACTTATTCTTTTCTTTTGGACTTGGTAAAATTATTTACCCGATAGCAATGAAAAATACTTGAAGCATCAACTAAAACAGATTTCCACCTTTTTTCCCCCTGGGCTCCCCAAGCACAACCTGAGGAAAATTGTCATCTAAGACAGGTTATCTATACACATGCATTCTTCTGAAACGCTGCTCTGTAAGACATGCACTTTTTAGAACTCAGCATCACTGTCAAAGGACAGAATTTCTGCTAATTCTTTCCTAGAAAGCCACAGAGATTCCTACCGCAGTTCTGAGGCTAAATCCTCCTCCTGTGCCCTACTTGCCCTCCCTTTCTCAGACACTCAGGACTCAAGTTTCCTTTCTTCAGGCTATGGATTTGTGAGAGAAAGAGGCCTTTGTCTCAGTTAGAATTTAGGACTCACTTCCATTTCATGGCTGATTCCAGGAAATTACCTGGTGCTAGTCCTGGTGTAGCGCTGTGGGATAATGCACTGGACAGAAAGGTCAATTTGAACTGCAAGATCGGTGGTTCAAATTCACCAGCTGCTCATTTGAAACCCTAGAGTCGATCTGAGTCAGAGCTGCTCCATAGCACTGAACAACAACAACAACATTCGAGAGCCAGCCAGGTGAAGGTGAAGCCTCAGCACTAGATATATTTACCCCAAGTGTCTTGGCAGCTGACACCTTAAAGAGAAGTTAAAAACTCTAGGGACAGTGCCTGTGTTGAAGCCTACTGCTGAGCAAGCTGGGCAACAGTACTACTACGTGATTTTCAAACTGCAAGGTTGTCTGTCAGTAATGAAACTTTCTCACCTGCCATTACCGCTGCACTGATCATCACCATGAAACACCATGACTGCTGTCACCATAAAAAATAAGCTATCAAATTGACCGACTTTCTGGTGTTTGATTAGTCTATTATAACTAGAAGCCAATCTCCTTTGTAATGGTTATGCAACTGAGGATTTCTAATGACAAAACTACTGGGTCAAGGTTCAATCCGATTTTACTTTTGAACTAGTGTTATAAATGGGCCTGTTGTTGAAGTTACTTCATAAGAATTATTTAAAACTAAACTGCTTTCAGGTATTTTAAAGGACCCACACAAAGCTACTCCAACATCTAGATGATTATATATTGATTAGAAATCATTCTTATCCATTTATTTATAGAGTAGGACGGTCTCTACTCCATTTCAACTTGAAGAATCCGCATTAGTTAAAAGGGTAAGTGTGTGTGTGTATACATATATAATCAGAAAACGGTAAAAGTGAGTATTTTGCATCTTTTGATATGCAATCCTTACCTCGCTCAGTTTCCTCTTGATCAGATCACAGTAACTTAATACTAGCCTGTTAAATTTTAGTATCTTTAGTCTCAGAATGTATTTTATGCAGATCATAGTATCTGGATCAAATACACCAGTCTTAATCACAAAGGTACTAACTTGCTACTCTCATGCTCATAAATATTCGTAAGTTAGCAGCTTCTAAACCTGATCCTGAGTTTGGATTTAACTATGTGGGAGGTCTACTGATCTAATTAAAGAGTAGTTAAGGAATTTCAGCATACCATGGAAATACTGGCTTCACGCTGATGGTACCACCATGAGAAACAGCAATGTAAAGA